GTGAGCCTGTGGGGGGCACAGTGGCCATGCATCCCTAGAATGCTAGGCTTTCCTGACATACCATTTCCCCAGCTGGCAGGTCCTGCCTCCCTAGACACCAGTGACAGTTAGTGTGCAGAACACTCACCAAACCCAGTAGTGTGGCTTTGGCGCTGGTCACCTTGGCCCAGGGCTCAGGAAGGACAGTGAAGCCACTGTCAGCAGCTCTAGCCCCAGGGAGGGCAGAACCTGTCAGGCAGGGGCAGGGGTGCCAGAGCCTCTCACAGCCTCTCCTCCCCAGGTGACAGTGACCAAGCCCTGTGCCCCCATCGTCACCTTCGGCATCAAACATTCTGACTACATGATGCCCCTCGTGGTGGATGTGGAATAGCCCTGACCCCTACCGCACCCCATCACCCACAGCCTCTGCACATCATGTTCCCACATCTGGGCCGTGGGCTAGGAACGCCTCCTCCCCAAGCTGGGCTGTGGCCCGCCTGGCCTGTAGGGCAGAGCATACCTGTTTGGACAGTTGTGACCAGTTATTTTTTCTATGCTGCTTTCCCATTTGCTAATCTTGTTTCCTGCTGTGCCCACATGTTTAATAAACCACAGATCCCATTAGTAATGGGTTTGTCTTGACAGTAGAATCAAGCTTTTTCAGAAAGCCGCCCCCCCCCCCCCCCCCCCCCCCCCCCCCCCCCCCCCCCCCCCCCCGCCAACATAGGCTGTTGGGTCCTACCCTGGCTTCCAGGGCTTGGGGTCTGAGCAGAGAGGAGGGCTTGGGACCCTCGGGCGCCCACCCTCCTAATTCTGCCTCGGGCCCTTCACCTCACATTTCGTCGTACACTCCAGGGATGGTCACACAAGCACCTATCCCCTCCTATATGGTCTTCTGCCTGCATGACTCACTCTCACCCATGAGATCTGGGTCCCCACCTTGAATCTGGACTAGGGCCTGTGACCACCCTGAATAAAGTGATACTGTGACTCCTGACGCCAGGCCATGACATAGAGAGGAAACAGCTTCTGCCTGTGTATCCCCCTCGCTTCGCTCACTTCACACCATGGTGTGCCCCCAACACGTGGTGTGGCCACATCAACATCCAGGCAGCCAGCACAGCTGGACTGCAAGCTCACACCAGCATCAACCAGCGGGGATGTGAGCAAGCCTTCAGGTGACAGCAGCCCTGGCCTCGGGTCTCCCAGCTGAAGCCTTAATGTTCTAGGCAGAGAGCTGTCCCCACCATGCGGGTCTCAAATTCCAACCACAGTGATCCAAAGACAAAAATTACTGTAAGTGACTAAGTTTTAAGGTGATCTGTTATGCAGCAAAGGCAACACAGGAAGCACAAGAGGACAAGGACCAGGAAGGGGGTATCTGAGTGAGGCCCAAAACAGGCATTTCTAGAGGCCTCCTGGAGTCTAAGGCCAGGCCTTGAGGAATGGAGTCTGGATTTCACCTTGATCTTGGGGAGGTCGCGGAGGACCTCAAGATGGGTGGTCCTGCCTGCTGTCCCCGTGAGCCTGCCAGCCATAGCCACACAGAGCACAATATGGCTGCTGACCCTGGCCCAGCAGGAACCACGTCAGGTTCGGTGTTCTGAGCACCTCACATTTATTCATCTAACCCTTGGGAGTAATACTATCATCACCCTATCTGAGTTACAGAAACTTGGCAGAGAAAGTGATAAGCCTGTGACCACCTGCCTAGGGCGGTGGGGGCCAAGTGAGGGAGGGAGGTACAGGGACAAGGCAGAACCAGAGAGGGAAGAAGTGGGGTCTGGACCAGCAGTGTCCATGGCCTGTCTGTGGACCGAGTCAGTTCCAGATGAAACTCTCAAGCACCCAAAGAAATGAGGACACCAAAGACAGTGTTTACTCCACCATGAAACTGTTTATTCCAAATTTTTATTGGTAAATGCCTTGTCCTTGAATTGCGGGATAGAGCCTGCCAGCCACCTTGGCACAGACTGGGTCCCCGGGTCCTTCTTGGGTTACTAGTCTCAGGCACCAACATCAGCAAACCCCGCCTATGCACAAAAGTAGGTGCTGAGTGCACAAGGCTGAGCAGGAAGAGGGTGAAGCCTCTGACCGGTTGGCAGAATTGCCAGGCCCCCCTCACGGAATCCATCCCAATGCAACGAGAATGAGAGACCAAAAGGTCAATCAGAAAGGAACTAAAACCCAGACCCCAAAATAGCTGGAAGCAGAGATGGAAACTTTAGGAGAGAACGTTACAGCTGGAGGTCTCAGGGAGACAGCAGAAAACACTCAGCAAGACCACCCAAGTGCAGAATGGAAACTAGCCTGCCATGGCAGGACGAGCAGGCACAGCTCGCTTAGTGTGGTGTGGCTCCCACAATGGAGCATGTTCCCAGAAAGTGAAGTCAGCACCACAAACCCAGGCAGAGTGGGGGATGCAGGGTGAGGGTGTGTCTGCAATGCCCTTGGCAGCTGCCAGCACAGTGGCCAGTGGGCACGCCCCCGTGGCAAGATTTAAGGTGAGATGAGCAGAGGACTAAGTCAAAGCCATAGAGTGTGGCGACTGGGAAGGGAGGCAGGACCACGGGAGCCTGAGAATGCCAGGGAGTAAGGGGAAACAGTGAAGTCCCAGAGACACGGAGGCATGTAAGCCGACCTCACTGGATGAGAAACGAGCATCTGGAGGAGCAGAGGCAGTCAGAACAGAACACTCAGAAGTAGGAAGGTGGGATCCTCCTCCTCCAGGAGGCTGAGAGGGCCAGCAGGTACAATGGAATGACCATATGAGGATACAGGCCAATCCTGCTGGAAGGGGAGGCAGGCATCAGTGCCACAGGGGCAGTGCCCAGGGCTGGAGACCAGAGCAAGGTAGGGCCAAGAGAGCTGACGTGTGGTCAATGTGTGTGACCCGGGCAAGGAGGTGGACAGGGCGCCAACAGTCTTCAGGGAGTAAGGGGAGTAACTGGGATGACAGAAGACGGGGAAGGACACAGAGCCAATGAATCGTTTCTTACATGTATTTGTGCACAAGCAAGGGTGCCGACACCTCACCACACCTCACCAGCGGGTGAGATGCCGCTGGTCCAGCTGGGCCTGTGGTTCGGTTTGTGTGAACATGGGGCTGGCCAAGTGGGCCGTGAGGGCCCAGGGAACAAACGGTGGGTGGGCATGGAGGGCAGTCTGCAGAGGGATGCGAGAATAACTAAGCGTCCCCACAGTAAGGTGGTACTCACTGTCCAAGGGTCTCGCTTGGTGGATGGGAAGCTGCCTGCTGACACTCCAGAAGCGACCCACAGGTCCTACGAAGAGAGTCCTTGTAGGGAAGCCTCCTGTCCTGACCCACAGAAGGTGCCCCCCTCAACACACACACTGCCTGACTCTGAAATGCCAGACAGGACTGCTTCTAAAGGTCTGGTCTCGCGGAAACACACCTTTGGTGTTGGGTAGCTCTCGAATCCTGAGAAAACGGGGAGTTTCCTCTCCTGGATACAAGACCGTGAGATCCAGAAGGACTGGGAGGGCCCAGGGCCTCCAGCCAAGGTTGCAGTCCACTCCTTCATCCACGGCCCCTTGCCCTTTCCCGAGGGTCCGGAGGGCAGGCAAGGCCTCAGGGCGGAACCCTCAACATTGATCTACCCATGCCCAGCAGCCCTAGCCGAGAGTATCTGCCATCTCTGAGTCGACATGGTGCTCAAAGTTCACAGCCACACCCCCTTCCTGTGTCAGCTCCAGGCACCTCAGATCTCAGATGTGGCCTGACCTAGAGACAAGGACGGGACAGAGCCTTAAAACGCCAAAGCCCCAAGGAACAGGGGAAGGCTGCTGGCCACAGGTAGCCATGTCCAGGATTCCCAGCTGCTCAGGTCAGACCTGCTCTGCCAGAGCCTCTAACACCCGGAACAGTACAGAGAGCTGGGCCTTGGCTTCTCCAAGGGAAAGAGACCCTCACACACATGGGACCGGCCAACATGAGCTCACGGGGTCAGAGGAAGCCACGAACTCCCAGTCATACAGGAAAAAGATTCCCAAGCCACGATCATCGTTTCAAAGGAGTATTTTGTACGTAGGTCTTCTGGAGCCCAGGACACCAGGCAGGGGGAGACCCTGGCTGCCCCGGGCACTCACAGAAGCCAGTTCCTAGTGGCTCATGTCCTTGCCCTTGACAGGAGATACGAGAGGATGAAGAAGGCCACGATCAGGCCTGCGGCCATACCACATAGAAGCTTCCGGTTGTCTCGCCCAGACCTCGCCATTGTGGAAAAGCGCTTCACACTCCCTGTGAGCAGGCCTGTCATGCTTGTGAAATCCGAGTCCTGAGGGAGGAATCCCAGCACAGTCACACAGGGGGGGACATCTCCACGACCGACACGCAGGTGCTGCAGGCACGCTGGGAGCCTGCACAGCAAGCGGTGTGGGGCAGAGCTGACCGCGATGCCCGCGCACACTGCAGACCCTTACCATGCTGTCCAGGTACCGGTTCTGGTCTTCTGCGTCCCTATCGATGTCCAGGGCCAGCTGGTCAGGACACAGAGGGGGCAAGGTCAGGCCAGAGAAGGGACACTGGATGGCGCCTGACCCCCCGTAAGACCAGCAGACCCTGCCAACAACTCTGCCAGACACAGTACCACCAGCAGAGATCAGGATTCAGGTGTCACCCGGACCTCACACGGATGGACGCTGCCATGGACGAGACAAGGAAGATGGGAACTACGTGAAACCCGTCCCAGCCTCTACCCTCCCTCTGGTCCCCACTCCAGGGTGCTAGGTGGAGGTGAAGGGACGACCACCACTGACCGATTTGAGCCTGGTGACCTTGGAAGCCAAGTTGTCGGCCATCCGCTTATTCTCCCGGTCTAGAATCTCCTCCACAGCGGCGGGGCTCTGAGCTGCGAGAAGGGAGAGTCTGAGGGGGAGCATCCACCTGTGAGCACTGCCCTTGACCCCTGCATGTCAGCCCTTTGTGGCCTCAGGGCTCTCACTCCAATCCCACCCAGCCATGCTGGAAGTCTCAGAGGACTGAGCTCACATCTGTTGAGCGGGCCCAACCCTAACCCGGGATCCAGTGCATGGACGTCACACATGACAGGCTGTGTAAAGGATAGTGCGTGTAAGCACCTGTCATGTGAGCACATGTCCTGTAAACATATCTAGGCACCCCAAAGGGGTACAGTCCTACTAGCACTTTCTGATATTGTCACAGAACCTGCACGATCCCTCCACAGATGGCATCATAAGGATAGATAGGATAGTTATTTCTGGCAGGAAGAGCACCCAGGAGGGAAGCAGAAAGGCCCTGGCAGGGATGGCCCATGAACTGGGTTCTGAAGAGATGACAAGTGACCAAAGAGGAAACAAATTCGCAA